CTAAAAACAAAGAGGAAATATTTGTAACACATAAACTAGACCTAATATATTAATAATACTTGCAACTCAGTAATAAGACAACAAAACTACCAAATATAGAAGAGTTGAAAGGCTTAAACAGAAAATGCACAAAAGAAGATTTGCAGAAACCCAATAAGGATTTGCGGAAGTGTTCAACATCATTGGTCATCAGAGAAATGAAAAATTAAAACCACAATAACACCATGGTACACTATATAGCACACCCCTTAGAATGGCTAAGTGTTGAGAAAGATGTGGAGTCACTACTCATGGGAATGTAAAATGGTTCATTTTGATAAACACTATGACAGCCTCTTAAAATGTTAAAACATGATTCTACTGTGTGATCCAGCAATTACACTCCAAGGTATCTGACAACAGAAACGTAAGTCTGCACAAAGATGAATATATAGCAAACTTTATTTTTAATAATGACAAGTGAAACAATCCAAATGTCCATTGACAGGTAATAGAACATGGAAATGTGGTATATCCATACAGTGGAATAATCCTCAGCAACAAAAAGAAATACAGCATGGATGCTAAACAAATATGGGTGAATCTAAAAATCTTTTTTCTTTTTTTTTCTGTTTTGTATCTTCTTATAGTTTCTTAATTTTCTAAATTAGCAACATGTATGTTTTGGGGGGTGGGACTGGAGTTGGAACTCAGGGCTTCGTCCTTGCAAAGCAGGTGCTCACAAAGCAGGCACTCTACTGCTTGAACCACACCTCCAGTCCCTTTTGCTCTGGTTATTTTGAAAATTGAGTCTCATGAACTATTTCACTGGGCTGGCCCTTTACCTTGATCCCCCTGCAAGTAGCTAGGACTATAGGCATAAGTCACTGGAGCCCATCTTCATTTTTAATCTGAAAAATCACTCTACTTTCTTAAATAAACAGTAATTGATTAATTTAAGACATTAAATGCCAAAAAAGAAAAAAAAAATGTTTCAGAAGCAAGCAAAGATTACTGGAGGGAATTTTGCTGTGAGCCTTATCAGGAATGGCCTCATGGGAGACAGTTTTTGCTGGGCTTAAAGCATGGGCAGAGTGACAGGTACAAAGGAAAGGATAAGGTGGGTAAAGCCAGGACTGTGACCTGCTCAGAGGGTGTAGGTATGACATTTTACTGGAGCAGAGAGCTCAGTCCATGAAGAAGAATGGGCATGAGGTTGGGTTATGCTTGCCTGGAGTGGTCTATGTGTTTTCAGTGAAGCTCCTTGAGTTTATTCCACAAGAAAACATTGCCAGTTTGTGCCATCAATGCCCAAAACAGCCCAGAGGATGATTTGCAATTCTGTTCAGGTAGTTGTTTCCTTTAGCCATTGGTCCAGTTCCAGAGTCAACAGGACTTCCATTGGTGCTAGCCTTTTTTCCTTTGTGACCTGTATCCTGCCTCCTGCTGACTTCTCTTTAGTATCCTTTGTATCTGCCCAAAGCTCTTGGCTTTCTTTTAAAAGTCTTTTTTTTCTTAATGAAAGAAGCCAGCGCAAAAGAGTGCATGCTGTATAATTCCATTTATATAAATTTTTAGAAAATGTAATCTACCTACGGTGACAGAAAGTATTCCAGTAATTGAATAGGGTGGAGGTGGAGGAAAGGAGCATTGCTTAGGGATAATGAGGGATTTGGGGAATGATTGAGGTGTTTGTGATGTTGATTGTGGTGATAGCTTCATGAGGGGTATACATCTGTCAAAATTCATCCAATTGCACACTTTACATATGTGCAGTTTATTGATCACAAATTTTTATTCCATAAATTTATTAAAAATAAATAGAATGTAAAGAAAGAAATTATAGTAATGGCCCAGATACCTTCTTGACTAGCCAGAAACATAACTTTCTCTTGAATCCTCTCTCATACATTCCTTAGATTCTCTACGACTGCTTACAGTCCTCATATTGAGGACCTGATTAAGGAGTTTTGAGAGGGGGCTCCCTATGCACTCAGAAACATTCTGTGCACTCTAAGGTCCCTCTGGTGTCCCCATCTCTGCTGACCATGCCTGTCACGTGCTGATTTTCTTTGGGCCAAGGGTATTGATTGCCCTAGTGCTACTTGCTCACTGTCTGCGCCTGGAGAGTGGCTCTTTCTGCCAATAGAACATTGCCTCCCTCCAGCCTTTGACCCTACAGCTTTTATCTCTCCTAAGTCAACAGGGGGACCTTTCTGTCCTCTGTGGCCACTCTGTGAGATAGGTTTCTCACAGCAGGCACCGAGCAGCATGGCTTCTCCTCATATAGAATTGCTTTATCCTACCTGGAGGCCCCAATAGGAAGGCATCTAAAACTAATTTTATTATTTTTTTATTGTTTTATTATTCATATGTGCATACAACGCTTGGGTCATTTCTCCCCCCTGCCTCCACCCCCTCCCTTACCACCCACTCCGCCCCCTCCCTCTCCCCCCCACCCCCTCACTACCCAGCAGAAACTATTTTGCCCTTATCTCTAATTTTGTTGTAGAGAGAGTATAAGCAATAATAGGAAGGAACAAGGGGTTTTGCTGGTTGAGATAAGGATAGCTATACAGGGCATTGACTCACATTGATTTCCTGTGTGTGGGTGTTACCTTCTAGGTTAATTCTTTTTGATCTAACCTTTTCTCTAGTACCTGTTCCCCTTTTCCTATTGGCCTCTGTTGCTTTAAGGTATCTGCTTTAGTTTCTCTGCGTTAAGGGCAACAAATGCTAGCTAGTTTTTTAAGTGTCTTACCTATCCTCACCCCTCCCTTGTGTGCTCTCGCTTTTATCATGTGCTCATAGTCCAATCCCCTTGTTGTGTTTGCCCTTGATCTAATGTCCACATATGAGGGAGAACATATGATTTTTTGTCTTTTGGGCCAGGCTAACCTCACTCAGAATGATGTTCTCCAATTCCATCCATTTACCAGCGAATGATAACATTTCATTCTTCTTTGTAGCTGCATAAAATTCCATTGTGTATAGATACCACATTTTCTTAATCCATTCATCAGTGGTGGGGCATAAAACTAATTTTAAACACATCCAGAATCCACCTGGATTTTTTGATTGCTCTGAAGACCAGGCCCACATTGCTGCATTGTGCTTTGTACCTCATAATATGGAAATAAGATATATAATCCTTTCTTTCACAATAAAAATATTTCCTCATTAAGAAGAAAATAAATTTTTCCTCAGTGAATTAGCTTGCTAGCTGAATTCATTAGTCTAATATTAAAAACTTCAGATGAGATTACATTTTGATACATGTTACACCTTTTGTTGTCTAAGCTGTTGACACCCAAGGGAAAAAACATAAAATTTGAAACAAACTTCATGCTTTTCTGCTTGAGCTGTTTCCAAGGTTGGCAACGCATTGTTGTGGTATTTACATAAAGTGATGAACAATGACTGGTGTAAAATGAGTGATTTTCATCAATTGGTGCAGTTGATGAACTTACTAGCTTATTTTCATAAGGTCTATTGTTTCCTAAAGCTACAAGAATTTCAGTAGCATACCAGATAATCAAGGCTAGCAATATTCATTTTTTGCCTCAGAGGAAATAATGAGTAGAATTTATTCGCCCATTCTCCTGAAACAAGTACAGTGACATGCTTTTGTTTTATTTTTCTTCAACGGCAGATGCTCAGTGTTTGTCAGTCAGTTGAGAAATAGGTGAGGAGTCTGAGCAATGAAAGAGATGTCCTCCTTTGAGCTTACTAATCAATGCTTTGCATCTCTGCACCTGCTGCCAGCTCAGGTGACAAAGGCTCCTGAGTGAACCTGAGTTTAGAGTGGGAGTCCTGTGAATCAATGGATCTACTGAGTTTCTGCAGTTGATGCAGATACTCCATCAACTACAAATAAGGAATGCTGAAGTTAATCTGTGTGGTTAGAGATGTCATCTGTTTGTATCTATTCTTTTTATCTATCTATCTATCCATCCATCTACCTATCACCATTATCATCTATATATCATCAATTATCACCTATATATCTATTTGTATATCTAATCAAACAGTTTGGAGGATCACTCTTCATTAAATAGAATAGGCTAAAAACCTTTTTACTAGTGATAGAACCCATGAAGAAACAGCATATAGGTAAATATATAGTGACATATTGTTTCATGTAACATTTGACATCACAGGAAAGTAAACCCCTTTCGAAACAGATTTGATAAGGATTCTGTACTCTGAGCAATTTCAAACAGGGTGGCTGAGAAATTTTTACAAAAAACTTTAAAACTCTGACAGAAGGGAGAGCCATTTTATGCAAATTACATACCAAATGATCACTGGGGGAAGAAAAAAAGGACCTATGTAGAATTCAGAAGTAAGACAATGAAAGAAGAGAACCTGAACACTGCTTAGTGGGCATGGATTAGAGTCTCATAAATAGACCAATCCTGAAAAACATTTATACATGCTTAATCCAGCTGTTTAGTAAACTGCATGTTATTCTCCTTCCATAGCATTGTTTGGTCCTTCTTAATTCTAGAATTCTAGTGTCATCCTGGTAATGGGAAGACAAGGTAGTAGCATTTAAGAGCACAGACTTCAGAGCTGATCAAATCTGATTCTGCCACTGTTTGCAGACCTTGGTTAAGTATTTAACTTCTATGGACCTCTGCTTCATCTGTAAAACAGATATTATAGTACCCAACTCTTAGAATTATTTGCTACAGTTATTTATGTAAAGCCCTTGTGACCCTGGATAGACCATCCTTCTCCTCTATTCCATAGTCCTGGAGACTGAGGGCCTATGTGCCCTGTCACACTCACTCAGATGCTACTCCTTCTGTTCCTAGAAAAAACACAGACCCAGGCACAGAGGAAGTTGACAGACTTTTTGCACAGCCTCACATTTCCTGCAGCCCAGCTTCTGGAGAGCTAAAGTCTGGGAAATAGGGAATGTACATGGTTTAGAAAACAGTGAGAACAGCATAACTGCTCCCCAGGGTCCCTGGCCCACTCCGGGTAAGGAGCTAGTGACTTGAAGCTGGCGATGTTCATGGAACATTCTCATAGTTTCCTGTAGCATCTTCATGGTCAGTGCCTCTACTGCTGTCATTGACGTACACCTTCTTCAACTCTGAATAAATGACTACAGGTTCCTAGTAAAAGACCCACAAATGGTAAATACCTCAATATAGGTGAGGAAGAAAAGAGAGTAGAGAAAACGAGGGAATGTGTCTCACCTTATCTTTCTGATGCATCCTTGCTGAATTTGCTGTTGGATGGGAGTAACAAAGAAGTATTAAACTCTATATATTCTAATTTACAACCTAACTCACAGTGTTTGCCAAGCCACTTTTACTTTTTTGGCTCATTTTTTGACTTTCCTCTACTAAGATTTTCTAAGCCCTCACAGAAAAGTGCCCCCCAAACTCACAATACATATTCACTAATAAAACCTCTTCCAAATGCTTAGAATTATTTTCTGACAATTTTCTTCTTGCTCCTCTGCTCACCACAACCGCAACAGAGCAGTCCCTGTACCTGGCATGGGTCACTATGATTGTACTAACCATCTGGGAGAAGATGGCAAATAGTATATACTTTGCTGTGCATGGGGAAATTGGATAAGAGGGTGGCAGCCTAAGACCACACAACAATTTCTCAGGAAGCCAAAGATTTGCAGTGAAACATTTAGGAAAGTTGGTGTGGCTATGTGTACTCCTTCTACCCTTCCAAAGGTTTCTTTGTATCTCTTTCATTTATTTGGTAGGCCAGTAAGCATTCATTGAAAAATGGTATTTGATAAGTTACACAGAGAAATGACAGAAACTCAGTCCATAAGATCAAGTAGCCTATAATTTTGAAGGGGAGAAATAAATATGGAAATGAATTCAAAAAGGTATTTTGAGCATGCAGAAAAACAAACTGAATCATGTTGTTGCCACAAAGGGTTATCAGTTCCTTCCATGTTAGGAGATGAGGAGTGACAAGAGTCACTGTGAGCTTCACAGTGAAACCTGAGCTATACCCTGAAATGTGAGCAGAGCTTACCAGTTAGCTAGGGGCAAGGCTATTCAGGATAATTAAACATATATGTCAAAATATTAAAATGCCAAGAATAAGAGCAAAATGCTATGGTCAGGGCATAAGGCAGAATCTGAAGAAGGCACTGAAAAAAAGTCACCGAGGACAGCTAATTCCGGCATGGTGTGATCAATTGTGACTCTCAACAGTGGTCATGCTGGAAATAGGACATTGCAAGGTCAAAGAACAAGACTAGAAGTAAAGAGAGCAATTAAGAGAATCACAATTGTCTATACATTAGATGATCAGAGATTATATAAAGTAAATAGTGCTCATAATTCATTCCAAAAGTGTTTCAAGAAGCCCACAATATTCCAAGCATCGAGCAGGATGCTGTGAATACATAAGTGAAAAGTCAATGTTTGTCCTCCAAGTGTTCATGGGGTAATGGTGTCAGTATGGGCAGGTAAGAAGTAGTGAGTGGATTAGTGACTGACAATACAAGAGGAGCAGGGAATGCCTCCCATGTTGGGCTCATATTTGAGATGCGTCTTCCATCAGACCCCTGGTTGGAACTGGTTACACACGGCAACCTCACTTCTCCTTATCTGACAGTTATCTCACCTGAATTTTCTTTTGTATGCCGCGTGTTCCTAATCTGGGAATAGACCACGTGGCTCTCTTCAGGATTTACTGTGAGAAAAGAGAAGATCCCATAGTTGGCTGTAGTTAAGAGCCCACATTCCAGATTCTCCTTCTACTGTGGATTAGATTTAGATTTGGTTTGTTTCCCAAACCAAATGTGTTGGAAGCTTAGAAGTGTGGTAATGTTAAGAGGTGATGAGACCTTTAAGAGGTGGGGTCTAGTGGGAACTCGTTGTAGGTCCTGCCCCTTACTCTGGCTTCCTGCCTCATCTTGTGATCCACCCCCTCACCTGTGTTCCTGCCACTGTGGTGCTATCTGCCCTGATAGCCTCACCATTCCCTTGAACCTCCAAAACTGTGAACTATACCACTTTTACTTACAAAGTACACAGCTTTTGTTATTTCATTATAATAATGAAAACTAGACACACACAGCTTCCCAGACATTGAGTTCATAACCACCTTTTATTCCCCAATATAATGCCAGGAATGTTACTTTTAAATTGGGTATTAAAGATCCTGAGCTGTTGCACAATACTTTCTTCCCTTGGCTAATTGCTGGAGCCCTCTGCCCCTTAGGGAGTTCTCACCGTTGTACACTGGCTGCAGCTCCATTAGGGCTAACGTCTCAGAGTGGGAGGACTCCTGGGGGTTGGTAATACATGATCTGGACAACGAAGGCTCCTGACAGTCATTGGCACTATAATTGTGACAGATGGAGAGTATACAATGGACAATATAAATGTATTCACGGGTTACACAGAGCCTCGGGGAAATGTGTATTCAGGAAGGCAAAGAGCCCAGCCTGATCCATATAAAACTAATGTGGCCACTTCCCCATGACACTTTCAACAAAATGTAAGTAGAGTGTCACAAGATGGAGCCCAGGGCAGCATGGTAGAATAGGCTAGGTTAGGGGGAAAAAGCAATGGTCTCAAGGTTCCTTTGGTATTGTAAAAACTCATTCAATTTTAATAATTATTTTTAAAGATGTAGGTTCTTAAACATTGATATACAAGGACTTCTGCTTTCTCACAAAACTTGAACTTTGTCTTTTTTTAAAAGGTTTTTCAATATTCTATCTCATGTTCCAATATTCTACCCTTCCTGTAAGATACCATGAAGGCTCCTCAAGAAAAGTGTGGTTTGGGACTGGATGTGGTGGTTCAGCTACTTGGAAGGTGGACAATGGAAGGATTACAGTTGAGGTCAGCCCAGAAAAAACTTTGTGAGACTTCATCTCAACAAACAAGTCCAACATTGTGGTATACACTCATAACCCCAGCTACATGGGAAGTGTAGCTAGGAGGTTAACAGTCCAAGACCAGCCCTGGGCAAAAACACAACACCCCATCTGAAAAATAACTAAAGCAAAAAAGAATTCAAGGCATGGCTCAAGTGGTAGAATATCTGCCTTCCAAACACAAGGCCCTGAGTTGAAACCCAAGTACTGCCAAAAAAAAAGAAAAGTATATTTTAAAGCTTTATTTCCTTATATAGTAAATATTGTGTATTCAATAGTGCTGACATTCAGTCATCATCTCCTAAATGAGTATATGTGTGGAGAAATGAATTTCAGGGAATAAATGAATTACATCATATGAAAGACAGTGTCATAAGATATCAGCATTCAGTTCTGTACTGCAGCACATAAGGAAATAGGTAAACTCACATTGGTAACAAATGGCATGCATTCTGTGAATGTACATAGAGAGTATTATTCATAGACATGAGTGAAATTGACTTTCTAATCACATTTTTGGATTTTGTAATATGTATATAATTATATGTTCTCATATTGTGGTTATAAATAGATCATGAAAATTTTGGCAGCACAAGAAGCAGAGGAGGTGGAGTGGGTGGTAAGGGAGGGGGTGGGGGCATGGGGGAGAAATGACCCAAGCCTTATATGCACATATGAATAATAAAACAATAATAAATAAATAAATAAATAAAAAGAAGCAGAGGAGACCTCACCTAGGTGTTCCAGCAGCAGAAAGTCCTCCTGCAAAATGAACAAAGGAGCATTAATTGTAAGCAACCTCATGGATAATGGGCTCCATGTTGGAACCTTCCTTCCTAGACAGAACTTAGTCTAGAATCTCAGATATGGCAAATCTTGGTCAATATCCATCACTTCCCATTTCACATTATAGCAAGCATGGTGGAGTCTTGAAAGACATCTGCCCAGACTTACACTTACTCTGAATCAATTTCCAATCAATCAGTAATAGAGTGTAAAAAGTGACTCTTAAGTAGTTGGTAGTTGTCACTGAGTAGCAGAAGTGAAACAAAATAATAGTTAACTCTGGACCTAGGCCATGCCCACTCCTTTATTCTGACTACAGCTTTGCAAAGTAGAGACAAAGGTAGAGAGTCTGGGGCTTAAAATTGATCGGGAATTCTTATACAAGTACAAATCAAGGGTACTACCATGGTAAACACAATCTTCTCTTTCTCTGTGACCCCTGCAAACCCATTCCAGCCACACTGAACTGCAGACCATGTGGGTTCCTAGTGGTTCCTCCACACCTCTTTTTTCCTTTTCTTTCACCTGCTCATTTCAACTTATCTTTCCTCCTGCAGAGCTTTATCTGATGACAGCAGGTTGAGTAAGTGAACTGCCTCCATGTACAAAGAACCATGTGACATTAAAATTACTAAATTCTATTTTAATGATTTATTGCAAAATTTGCCCTTAATTTTGTCCTTCACCAAAGGGTGTGCTACTTACAGCTGCAAATCTTGTCTCTTTTTTTGTATCCCCATTGCTGTGCCTAGCAGTTGGAAATATTCAATAAAGATTTGTTGAGCAACTAAAAAAATTAAAATGTGTACCTTGAGGACAAAAACCAGCAAGTTGACAGTTTTATGATAGGTGGTCATATGTAAGTGCAACCTTGAAGCCTACTCTCTCAGCCTTAAGAATGAAGCAATTTTTCATCCACACTGTAATCCTAAAATCTTTCTAGTCTGCCCCAATATAGACCTACTCCCAGTTTCACATCCCTGTCTTTGGCATTTTATATCTGTCTCAGTGAGCTTAGACAATACAACCCACTGCCCAAAGTAAACTTGCCAGGCTTGATTTCTATGAAAAATAGCAGAATAATGCCTGCAAGCCCTATTCTAAGGGCCAGACCTCCTGAGTAATGTTATGTAAACATAACGTTCAGATCAATGACAATCCACACTAATCAACAACCAATATTTTTCCTGTATATAGCCCAAGGATGCATCTGGAAGTCAATCTATTAAAAAAAAACAACTAAGACCTAGATAAGTAGCTATTTATAATATAAGTTAATATTTCCTAAGGACATGTGCGCCAGGAACTATGCTAAGAAGTTTACCCAAATTGTCTAGAACCTAAAAGATGGATACTTTAGCCAAGTAGTAAAAGGTCACACCTTTAATCCTAGCTACTTGGGAGGTGGAGAGCTAGAGGATCAGAGTGTGAGGCCAGCCTGGGAAAAAGTTCACAAGACCCCCATCTCAGCCAATGCCTAGACACAGTGTTGTGTGCTTCTCATCCCAGCTACATGGTAACACACAAATAGGAGGATCGTGTTCTAGACTGGCAGGCATAAAGCAATATACTATCTGAAAAATTAACCAATACAAAAAGGGATGGTGGAGTGGTTTAGGTGGTTGAACACCTGCCTAGAAAGTGCAAGGCCTTGAGTTCAAGTCCCAGGACTACTGAAAAAAAGATAGATACTTTATTATGACTCTATATAGACTTAGAAATTGGAGTTTGGAGAGTCTTATTGACTTGCCTCACATCAAAAGGCTGGTGACTTGCACTACTGGAGTTTCAACCCAGCAGTTTGACTACAGAACCAATGTATCTTCATTCCTTTTGATAACTTGTAGCATTCACTCAGAAAAAATTAGAAGGTTTGAAAATTTCTCTGAGAAAACTGACCAATGATGGAAAGGGACCTTACTATTACTGGAGGCAGAGGTAAGATTTTTGAGAAAAGAAAGGCAGAAACTAGGTCATAATTCCTTAGTGAGTTGTTTATTTAAAACAACACTCTTTCTACATCTGGGGACAGAACTACCTGGGTTTCTTTCCATATGGATCACAAGAAATGATAGTATTTTTTCTTTCCTTGGTGTTGTGTTGACTTATCAGTCTATTTTTTTTAACATTATCAACTTTGATAATGTTTGTTAGTGTTTTCTTCTCATGAGCTATAGATTAATAACTATTATATTGAACAAAAAGCCATAATTAAACATATGTTAATTATAAAAAGATTCAGTAAGTATAGGAAACAAATAAAGTAAGATGATAGAAAAGAAACATCATGCTAACACTAATTATATTTATTAACATACTAATATTTATAACTTGTTAGTTTTATTATTACATTACTATCGAAACTATTTCAGAGTAAGTGATATTATTGAGGTAAAGGTCGTTTTGTAAAGATAAAGTAATTAATTCATTAAAAACATGTAACAATTCTAAATATTCATGCACATAATATTAAGCATCAAATCTAAAGGCAAAATCTGACACAACTGTAAGAAGGAATGAACAAAGTCACAATTATAGTTGAAAATTTCAATACCCCTTATCTCAAGTAAGGACACAGAAAAAATTAGCAGATCCATGCTATAAGAAATGTTAAAAGAATTCCTTTATGTAGAACACAATGATGCAAACTGGAGATATGGATACACAAAAAAAGAATGAAGACTACTGGAAGCTGATAAATAAGTGTGTATTATTCTGACAATTCATATAAAGGCACGTCCTCAGTCAGATAAAGAGTATCTACAAAACCCACAACCAGCATAGTACTTAATAATGAAAGACCAAATACTTTCACCCTACAATCAGGATCAAAACAAGGATGTCTTCTCTCACAACTTCAATTCAACATTGTAAAAAGTATTCTAATCAATGCAACCAAGCAAGGGAAAGAAAACAAATTAAGATCAGAAAGGAAGGAGTAAAACTGTTTTTATTAGCAAACAATATGATCTTCTATATAGAAAAATTTGATGAGATCTACAAAACAGATACTAGAACTAAGAAATATGTTTTTTGTTTCAAATGAAAGACTTTAGTTTTCATCTTTCTTATTCACAGTATGCTGTGAAATGGAGATAGAACAGTAAACACTTAAGTCTCTAATATTTAATTGCAAGTAAAACTCTGCTATCTGATTTAAATCTCAAACACACAAGGTAAAATTTTCATTGAGAACTTTATTCTAACTTTTGTTACTACTGTCTACATGGTGACAATGAGTAATAAGACTGAAGGTCTTGTAAGTGGAAAGAAATAATTGACTTTTATTGGATGTACTACCCAATTCCAAATTATTGTAGCAATGTCACGTCACAATCAAAAGATAAGACATAGACACCCACCTGATTTCCTTTGGGTCCAGAAGTGATATAACAGAAGGGCAGCAATGGCAAAGCCAAGAAAGCTGAGCAATCCCACAGTGATTCCTGCAGTGACAAGTGTGGTTCTGTTCCTGGGCGTCCCTGAGTGGGAAGACCTATACTTGAGTTCTGGTGGCAAAGGTTTTGGATCAAAAAAATCCATGCAGTCAAGAAATCTATCTGTGTAGTTACTTGCCAGGATTTGATCTCTCCCTTTGAATTATCTCCAGTACAATTTGTAGCCTTCAAAATAACAACACATGAAGGCAATGACATATGAAGGGTGATCACCAACATCTAAGATTTATATTTAATCCCTTTCCAAACCCCCATAAAATCAGAGCCAATCTCAAAAAGCCCCAAGCATATTCAGAAACTGACACTGACAGAATTTGTACTGTCAATTGTAGAAATACTTTATTGGCATAACTGTGGGTTCCCATCCAGGTACTACTAACCTACCTGTGATGTTGAATGCCATCACCTCACTGTGCTGAGCCCCCAGGCCATTGTCAGCATCACAGGAGTAGTTTCCAACAAGCTCTGTTGGGAGAAAGAGTTTGAAGGATGCTCCTCCTCCTGAGGGGGCCAAGCTGTTCCCCAGGGTGATGTCTTCATGATAAAACTGGTACATAATGGGAGGAGAGCCTCCCAAGGCCTCACAGTGAAGTTCCACCACATCCCCCACTTTAGTTTGGGCTGCTGGGGGCCTGAGGGTGAGGACAGGGTGAGACACTGGAACTGAGAGAGGAAAAAAGAATTCATTGGAAGTTTTGCATATGTGTATGCAATAAAATGTATTGAAAGAATATGCAGCATAGTTTATAGTAGGAACATGGACCTGGATTCAGGAAAATCTGGGTTTGGATTCTGTCTCTGATCTTTACTAGTTCTGTAATCTTGATTTTTAAGAAATTTTAAATTTATTTAACTCTCACTGTGTGGTTCTGTAAAGTGGAGCTAATAATAAATTATATCTTAAGCTATTATTATAATAATGTGTATAAGGTGCTCAATGAACATGAGCTGTTATTATTGATAGAAATAACCAAACTCAAAGGTTATTTTCAAACATTACCACTCCTGCGTCTTACCTCTAAAACCAGGACTTCCATGTCTATCTAAAGTTGGATTCTTTTCCAGATACCTTGCTTCATTTTTCAACATAGTATTTAGCACTTTCTAATATCCATACATCATCCCTCCCTCCCTCCTTTTCTCTGTTGTTGTATATCTCATTATCTCAATAGAATATATGTTCCATAGAACATGCATTTATATTTTCTTTATTGCATTTCCAGCTGCTGGTGGATTTTTGTGTGGTATATAAAGGCTGACCAAGAATTGGTTACTGAAGAGGTAACTGAACTGATCCAGACTGGCACAAAAATATCCAGATACACCAATAGCAAAAATGACTTCCATTTTTTTTAAAAGTAGCTTTCTAACAAAAATTTGAGGATTTTTTATTCATATATGCATACAATGCTTGGGTCATTTCCCCCCCCCTGCCCCCACCCCTTCCCTTACCACCCACTCCGCCCCCTCCCTCTCCCCCCACCCCCTTGATACCCGGCAGAAACTATTTTGCCCTTAATTGATTTCCATTTTGATTATTGCTTACACAAATTGGACATCTGGTCCTAATAGACCATCAATGTAAAATGTAGACTATAAGATTGATGAGTCTGAAAATTTGTGAAGAAACCTGGAAGTGCCAATCTGTGTGTAGTGATTGAGATAAGAAGTTCCATGTTTCATTGGTGAGAGAGGCTTGGTAAGGGTCTTAAGCTCTATTTTGCATTAGAAATTGGCTAAAGGGAAGTGAGTGTGAATGTGAGACCATTCAATGGATGGCAATGATTAGATTTGAGAATGAGCCATCTTCTGGCTGGAAAAAAGATGGCACTTGCTGCCTTTTCCAGGTAGAAATGCCAAGTCTTACTTTTGGAACTATAGAGTTTCTGCTAAGTTGAAATAGACTGAGTTTTGTCCTTCTGTATAATCTCTAAAATACAAAATGTCTTAAGTGGGATGCTAAAGGCCTCTAACATCAGAGATTCCAAGACTGAGAAAGACCATGTCAAGTTCCGTGACACAATACATTCCAGTGGGTGAGAGAAAATAAAATATGAGTGCTTAATTCGTTTAAAACAGTTTTGAGCCTGAAAGAAAGGCATTTAGCTCTACTAATATTCACACTGGTGCTCTTGCTGAGGCCATGTCTCACACTTTGTGTTGGGCCCTCACAGGAATTTTCATGAAGGCATACCGGAGTGCTGGGCGGAAGTGCCCTCAGTTTTTTATTCACTCTCAGTGCATCAAAACACATTGCCCACCTACTTGACTACTTGAGTACATTTACAGATTACTGCAAACAATGGCCTGGTTATTTGTTCCTGGACGAAGGAATTCAAAAGAAGTGATAAGTCTTCTGTGTCATGCTCCTTTGTCAGTAATTGTGGAATTATAGTATGTACTTTGGAAAGTCATTGTGTTTATATTGGAAAGACTGTGGGGCATATGGCTATTATTGGTACTAACAGGAGACACAAAGGAGTGGTATAACTTACTGAATATGTAGTCATAAGGAATAATCTCAGAGCTCTCAGGTGGAGGCAGAAAAAGTGGGGAGTCTGCTGGGATATCATCCCAGCCACAGCTGATTGGAGCTCTATTTGTGGAAGACAGTCTGGGATGGTGGCTGTTAACTGCTGTGGGTATACCCTGCTTACCTATGACCTTGAGACTCACTCTGTGACTATGCTGGGACCCCAGTCCATTGTTAGCATCACAGGAATAGTTTCCAGAATGATCTACAGTCAGAGAGAAGTTGAAGGACACTCCTCCTCCGGAAGGGGCTGAGCTATTCCCCATGATCACATCCTCATGATAAAACCGGTATAGGATTGGGGGAGAGCCTCTCAGGGCCTTGCAGTGAAGTTCCACCATATCTCCCACCACAGCCTGGGCCCTTGGAGCCTTGAGAGTGAGAACAGGGTGGGACACTGGACCTGAGGGAAACAAAAGAGTTGTCAGAGAAGGGTTCTGCTGCTGCATCAGATTCATTACCCAATTTGACGTATTTAAAAATAAGATACATCCCTTGATTGGTTCTGTTTACCATTACCACACATTTTTCATCTAATAATCAGAAACACAGTCTCAAAATCTTGAGTAGTAATCCTAAATAATTTTGTTTTCATCACTACTCAGTCCTCTCCACAAGGAGCAATGTGGCTTGAACTTATTTTGTCATCTTCGCAATTGTTTTTATTGCTTTTGAATCTTGACATCTATGTTACTTTGCCTATTTCAGAAGATCCTCATAGCTAATGGAGAACTCGACACTGGTGTGTGAACCATGGCTGAGTAAAAAAATCAGGAACTTACTTCTGACAGTGACTCTAATCCACTTGCTGATAATGGGGCCATAATTGTTGTCAGCTGCACAGTAGTATCTCCCAGCATCATGCATCTTCACAGTGGGTATCTGCAGCTCTGCCAACAGGGAGTGCTGGGTCTTTCTGCCAAGATTTCGTGTTCCCTCTTTATGCCAGGAGAATGTGATAGTCCCTGTGCCCTTGGCTACTGAGCAGATAAGGACCAGATTTTCTCCTTCAATCAGCTGTCCCCCTGGGGGCTTGGTTTCTAGAATCACCTCAGACACAGGGATTCCTGGGGAGTACACAAGATAAAATGTGAACGTCTCAATAGCAAGGACCTCAAGGTCAAGCAAAAGGCTGGTGCTGCAGTGAATAATCTAGGGCATAATAGGCAGGGATCTAAAATAAGAAATTAGAAACTAATGGTATGTTTTTATAAAGGGAACAGCATCCCTCCTCACTCCCACAACAATTCCCATCCTTAGGTTAATATAGGCATCCAACCCATGATATTTCTAAACCTAATGTTGCCTACAGGCACATTTAATGAACATTTATGTCTAAGGAATCTTTGATGAACTAATGGACCACAGAGTAAGAGAGAATGCTAGAGTTGTTACTTATATCCCTAAGTGTCTTTATTCACAATCCAATCCATTCTCTTAACCTTCAAGAATTCTCAAGTCTCACCTCCATGTCTCTATATTCATGCCTGACTATTCCAGTTCATATTCATCTTTCACTTTTTAAAATTATTTTTGTGTGAGGTTAGGTAAAAAAATGTAAACACCATAGAGGCCTTTAGAGACCACATGTGGCTAACCACTATTACCTGACTTAGGTGGAAAAGAATGGGCCAGGGGAGCTAGGTCAATGTTGAGCCTAAAAAGAGAAGGAGATAGAGATTCAAGATGGAGGATAGCTGAGTGAAGCAGAAACCCTGAGCTCCACAATTTTAGAAAAATACTTCTGAATCATGGTAGTTAGACTTGTAATTCTGATTTTTTTAGCCAACTAAATTACCACCAACACATAGGGTGCATATAAAGTTCAATGATCAACCCTTAAAACAGCTTTTAATTACTCATAACAGCCAGGGAATTCCCAGTGAGGGTTGGAACCAGTATAGCCACTAGTCTGCCTTGGAGGAAATCTGCTGGCCATTTTTCTTTCTTTTTTTTTTCTGTCTTTTTCTTGGAGGAAGCAGAGGACTGGGGAACAAACTGAACTATATTCTGTGACATACTGAACTTACACCACGTGGACACAAACTACCTGCACCCCAATGGCTGGACCAAATTGCAGATGTGAATCTGTAACCCCAACAGGTGAGCAGCACATAACACATACCCTTGAGGGAACCACATAGTCCAGCACAGTTGGTGGGCAGATTGCACACCCCCTGAACAAAACTGAATGCCATAGACAGAGAACATAATTCACCTCTGCATAGCAGGGGTGGGACAAAATGTGGAGCTGACTTCCCAAAGTGGAAGTAGGACAAAATGCAGATCCAACCTCCTAAAGTGGGGGTGGGGTGGAATACTGAGCTTAACTTGTGGGTTGTGGGTGGGGCACAACACTGAATTGCCCTACATTGTTGAGAGTGGGGTTGATCTGAAAGAGCCAAAGCAGCAGTGGAGCAACACAGGCCACTTCCTGGTTAAATCAGAAACATATTTGACCACCTTGGAGAATCTAGTAATGAGCTGAAAAAGTGAGTGATCAAAGAGCTCAATTACAACTTGTCCTGTGGGCAGAAAGGATCAGTGACTGCTCACAAAACAGCCTCTCAACTGAACCACTGCAGAGATCTCACCTGCATCAGATGACCTATCACACCAAGAAAGCACTAGGTTCAAACACCCTGAGACCCTTCACCCTAAAGCTGTCCAAAAGGAAGGCCAACATCCATCACCACACAGCCCAGCATACCAACACTGAGTAGGGACAGGGACACTAAGAAAGCCCCTGTTAAATGTGCCAGCACCTGGATTTGAAGTCAAAGGAATAAGTCTAGAGATGTCAGAAAACTGATTTTTTACCCCTTTTTTTATTTAGTATTTTTAATTTTATTACTACTATTCTTTTATCTTTATTCTTAATCTCTTCATTTTCTCTCCTCTTTTTTGTGCTATAATCCATTGTTACCTATCTCTTCCTCTCTGTCTAAATATCAATCTGCTTAGACCTCTCTTTTCCCACTTTATTTTCTCTCCCCCATTTTTTCTGCCCTTTTCATCCATTCTCTCCTTTCTCCACCTTCCCCTCCTCATCTCCTCCTACCCCTCACTCCACTCCTACCACCTCCTTCACATCCACCACTCACTGAATAGTCTACTATGCCAACTTTACACTTTACCCCCATCTGTACTATCCCTCTGCAATCCCTGAAAAAAAGCACCCAAACCCACAAAAACTGAACTACACCTTAACACACATTAGGGACTATTATCAATTAGCTCCCACAACTCACACCCCTTCCCTTCTTCACCTCATCCACTCTTTTTGATCCCTCAGTGCCATCTTTTTAATTATCCAAGTATCTATCTCTATCCAAACAATCATTATCCTCCAAATTCCCACTGTTTATAGATAATAACAACAAAGACTTCTCTATACATTATGTAAATACCTGGTCTGGCATTGAAGCAGTGAATTTGTTATTGCTAAATTATACCTCCAGGTCAGGGAACAGAAATAGCACATCAACTTTGTTAATGACTAAGCCAGTCGCAGCATAGTCAAGGGAAAGAAAATAGTTGATTAAAACCCCCAACTAGCCAATCAATAACACAGGAGCAAGTCACAAAAAAGAAACATGGGGAGAAGAAGACAGCAGGGGAATACAGCTCCTCAAAAGACTAACAATAATTCAATAGAGGATTTGTGGAAAATGAAGGAAATGAAAACCCAGTTGCTGAACCCAGCAGAATGATGATAAGTATGTTCAATGAGCTTAATGAAGACTGTCAAGGGGGGCTCAAAGAGGAACTAATGGAAGAGCTTAAAGAGAACTTACAAAATCAATTCAAAGAATATCCAGACAACACACACACAAAAAAAACTTGAGAAGACACAGAAACAACTAAATGAACTCAATGAAGACTTCAACAAACTCCAAAATGAAACCAAGGAGACTATAAAAAAGATATATACGAAATAAAGAAGACAGAGCAAGATATGAGGGAGACTTTAACAAAGATGTGGAAAATCTCAGAAAAAAAGAATCAAAGAGAAATCCTGGAAATAAAAATTTCCTTAAATAAAATACAGTTGAAAGGTACTCCAGCACACTACAACATGTGGAAGACAGAATTTCGGGGCTGGAGACAAAATAGATATTAAAGAAAAAGCAGAAGAATTCTTAGACAAAAGACTCAAGAGCTATAAAAGGAATACACAAGAACTCAATGATTCCATCAAAAGACCAAACCTCTGAATATAGGAGTTGAGGGAGAAGAGGTTCAAGCCAAATGCATAGGTATTTATTCAGCAAAATAACAGCAGAAAACTTTCAAATATCAAGAAAGCGTTGCCCATTCAGGTACAGAAAGCTTCTAGGACACCAAACAGACATGACCCAAGTAGAACCTCTCCACAGCATATTGTTGTTAAAACAACTAGCTCAGAGAAGAAGGAAAGAATATTGAAAGCTGTACGAGAGAAAAATAAAGTAACATATAAAAGGTACACCCATCAAAATAATAGATTTCTCAAGAGAAACCTTAAAAGCAAGAAGGGCATGGAGTGAGGTATTTCAAGAACCGAAAGAATACAATTTCAGTTCTAGGATACTCTACCCAGCATAGTCTCATTCAAAATTGATAGAGGAATAAAAGTCTTCCATGATAAACAGAAACTAAAACAATATATGACTACCAAACCAACAATACATAAGATTCTGAAAGGAATCCTACATGCAGAGGATTGAAAACAAATATAACTACAAAAGGATGGGAAATATTAAACCTCAAGAGAGGAACAGACAAGTACTCAGAGAGTAGCATAGAATTAGCTGCACATACACACAAATGCTAAACAACAACAAAAAATAAATGGCAGGAATCACCACATACCTCTCCATATTAATACTAAATGTTAATGGACTCAACTCCCCCATCGAAAAACACCCTTTGGTATTTAAAAGGAAGACCCAACAATCTGTTGTTTATAAGAAACCAAACTAATTGACAAACATTGTCTTAGGGTGGAAGAACATCTACCAAGCTAATGGCCCCCCAAAACAAGCAGGAGTGGCAATACTTATATCAGATAAAGTGGACTTCAAACCTAAATTAATCAGAAGAGACAAAGAAGGTCACTTCATACTAATAAAAGGAGCAATACAGCAATAAGAAATAACAATTATTAACTTACATGTGCCTGATGTCAGTATACTCAACTTCATTAAGCATACACTAATGGACTTAAAAATGCAAATAGACTCCAACACAGTGGTAGTGGGATTCTTTAATAATCCTCAATCACCAATAGATAGTTTACCCAGACAAAAAAATCAACAAAGGAATTCTAGAATTGAATAACACCGTAGAGCTAATGGACCTCACAACACAGCATTCCATCCTGCAGCAGCACAATACACATTCTTCTCAGCAGCCCATGGAACTTTCTCAAAATAGACCATATCTTGGGTCACAAAACAAGTCTCAACAAATACAAGAAAACTGAAATAACCGCCTTCATATTGTCTGACCACAACACAGAACTAGAATTCAATTCAATTCAAAAACACTAGAGTTCAACAACAAAAGCAGCAGCAGAAAATACTAAACAATTAGAGGCAAAACAACACATTGTTCAATGATCAGTGAATCATAGAAAAAATAAGGTGGGAAATCAAAATTTTCCTGGAATTTAATGAAAATGAAAACACAACTTATTAGAACCTATGGAACACAGCAAAGGCAGTCCTAAGAGGAAAGTTTATAGCCATGAGTGCATACATTAAAAACACAGAATGATCTCAAATACATGACCTAATGCTATATCTCAAACTCCTAGAAAAACAAGAACAAGCTAAACCAAAACAAGCAGCAGGAGAGAAATAATAAAAATAAAGGCCAAAATCAATGATAATAGAGACTCCCCAAAAAGTACAAAGAATCAATGAAACAAAAACCTGGTTCTTTGATAAAAATAATCAAGATTGACAAACGCTTGGAAAATCTGACTAAAATGAGGAAGGAAAAAGAACCAAATTAATAAAATCAGAAATGAAAAAGGGAAGACAACAAGAAACACTAAGAAAATCCAGGGAATCATCAGGGACTACTTTGAAAACCTATATTCTAAATTGGAAAATCTAGAAGAAATGGACAAATTTCTAGATACAAATGAGCATCCAAAGGTGAATCAAGAGGATATTAATCACCTAAACAGATCTATAATATGCAGTGAAATTGCAGCAGCAATAGTCTTCCAAAAAAGAAAAGTCCACGACCTGATGGATTCTCTGCTGAATTCTACCAGACCTTTAAAGAACTAAAACCAACTCTCCTTAAACTGTTCCATCAAATAGAAAAGGAAGGAACAATGCCAAACTCATTCTATGAAGCCAGTATTACACTCATCCCAAAACTGGACAAGGACAGAAGAAAAAAAGAGTATACAGCCCAATCTCTCAAATAGATGCAAAACTCCTTAATAAAATAATGGCAAACTGAATTCAATACCATACCAAAAAGATCATACATGATGACAAAGTTGGCTTTATCCCAAGGATGCAGGAATTTATGTATGTTGAACCATAACATAAATCATGAATTATAATACAGCATATTAACAAAAGCAAAGTAAAAAACCACTTGCTCCTCTCAATAGATGCAGAAAAAGCCTTCATAAAATTCAACATCTTTTCATGATAAAAGCTCTGATGATACTAGGAATAAAAGGAATGTACCTAAAAATAACAAAGGCTCTATATGACAAGCCTACAGCCAACATTCTACTTAATGGGGAAAAACTGAAACCATTTACTCTAAAGTCAGGAATGACACAAGGTGTCCATTCCCTCCACTCATATTCAACATAGTCTTGGAATTCCTAGCCAGAGCAATAAGACAGAAAGAAGAAATAAAAGGAATATATATAAGTAAGGAAGAAGTCAAACTATCCCTATTTGCAGGCAACATGATCTTATATCTAAAGACCCAAAAAACTCCTAGACACCATAAACAGTTTCAATGAAGTATCTGGATACAAAAATCAATTTACAACAAAGTCAGTAGTCTTTCTATACACCAACAATGAACAGATTGAAAAAGAATACAGGAAAACAATTTCATTTTTGTTAGCCTCAAAAAAAGCAAATACCTAGAAATAAATTTAACAATGGATGTGAATAACCTCTACAAAGAGAACTATAAACCATTGAAGAAAAAGTTTGAAGGAGACTACAGAAGGTGGAAATATCTCATGCTCATGGATTGGTAGAATCAACAGAGTGAAATGGCTATCCTACCAAAAGCAATCTACATGTTCAATGCAATTCCCATCAAAATTCCAATGACATTCATCACAGAGATTGAAAAATCTACCTTAAAGTTCACTTGGAAGCACAAAAGACTGAATAGCAAAGGCAATACTGAGAAAAAGGAGCAACACTGGAAATATCACAATAACCAACTTCAAACTATGTTGCAGAGCCATAGCAATAAAAACAGCATGGTACTAGTACAAAAACAATATGCAGACCAGTGGAACAGAATAGAAGACTCAGATACTATGCCTATGTAATTTTTGACAAAGTCACCAAAAACATACATGGAGAAAAGACACCCTCTTCAACAAATGTTGCTTTGAAAACTGGATATTTACCTGCAGAAAACTGAAACTAGATCCATCTCTTTCAAGTATACATTAGAAGTAGATTAAGCACCTTAATATAAGACCTAAAACTTTGAAACTAGTGCAGGAAAGAGCAGAAAATACACTGAAAGCAATAGGCATAGGCAAGGACTTCCTTGGTAGGACTCAAGTGGTTCAACAACTAGGAGAAAGAGTTGACAAATGAGACTACATGAAATTAAAAAGTTTCTGCACTACAAAAGAAATGGTTTCTAAATTGAAGTGGCTATCCTCAGGATGAGAGAAAATCTTTGCCAACTATTCATCAGACTAGGGACTGATAACCAGAATATACAAGGAGCTCAAAAACTTAAACTCCCAAAAAAATCAATGACCCAGTGAAGAAATGGGCAATAGAACTTATCAGACTCTTTTCAAAAAAAGAAATTCAAATGGCTCAAAAACACATGAAAAAGAGCTCACTACCCCTGGCCATAAAGGAAATGCAAATCAAAACCTCATTAAGATTCCACCTGACTCCTGTTAGAATTGCTACCATCAAGAACACAAACATCAAATGTTGATGAAGATGTAGGGGAAAAGGAACACTCATACCCTGTTGATGAGAATGTAAATTAGTACAACCACTATGGGAAAAAAATAAAATTAGAACTGCCATATAATCCAGCAATACCACTCGTGGGGATATACCTGAAAGAATGTGTCAGCTTACAACAAAGTCACCTGCACACCCATGTTTATTGCAGCACTATTCACAATAACTAAGCTGTGGAAACAGTCAAAATGCTCCACTACTGACAAATGGATTAAGAAAATGTGGTATTTATATGCAATGGAATTTTACTCAGCCACAAAGAAGAATGAAATTTTGTCATTTGCAGGTAAATGGATGAAACTGGAGAACATCATCTTAAGTGAAGTTAGCCAGGTTCAGAAGGCCAAGAGTCACATGTTCCCTCTAATATGTGGAATATAGACCTAATACAAATACAGTAATTTTGTGAAAAACTGGTCAAACTAAGTGGAGGTCACATATAAGAGGGGTAGGGTAAAATAAGGAAATTAAGAAAATGAATATGGTCGTTATAATCCCTATACCAGAATGAATATAGAATTCTTAAACTGGCTGAAACCACCATAAGAAAGGGACTAAGATAGAATGAAGAAAAATAGAGATGAACCAATTGGGGTTGTAATACATATATACATGGAAATATCACACACACACACACACACACACACACACACAAACCTCCCTGTGTAGCTACCTTTATCTCAAACAGCAAAAATGTCATTTTTTCCTTTTTTTTTTTCCTAGAAAATTGGAGAACAGGGAGTGGAACAGGTCCTGCCTAGCAGAGGGGTTAGTACCAGTAGCAGGAGGGGAGGTGGCAGGGGCAGGGGATAGGGTGGTGCAAATACTGTGTACACATGTATGTAAATGCAAAAATTATACCTGTTGAAACTATTCCAGGAATGGGAGAGCAGTTAAAGGAGAGCAGTAGAAGGGTGAATTCAAGTGGTATATTTGATACGTTGCAAGATTTTTTGTAAATTCCACAGTGCACCCCAACCCAGCACAACAATAAAAATAAATAAAATCACAAATAAAAGCCAAAAAATAAATAAGTTAAAAGGAGAAGAATACTAGGATATCTGAAAGCTCATCTCTATATTCACCATCCTGGGACAGGGGACAGGGAGGCAATCTAACATTCTGCTCTCCTCTCCCCAGCTCAGATTCTGGAAGAGCAGCATATTGGACACTTACTCTGTACATGGATCTGGGACCTTGAGCTATTCTTTGAGATTCTGTAAGCCATTGCTTCTGCCATGCACCAGTAGGACCCCGAGTCTTTCCTCCACATGGTGGGGATTTGGAGTTCTAGGGAGCTGCTGCAGCCTGATCCCAGAATCTGACCATCTCTGAAGAAGCAGAACTGGAGCTGGACATTTGACTTCTGTGGAGGGAGCTGAGTCTCACAAGTCAGGGTCACCGGGCCTCCCTCAGTGGGTTGGGAGGGGGTGGCTGTCAGCACAGGAGGTAGAAACAACTCTAGAGAGAACAGATAAATCCTCTGGGCAGTGAGTGTGGAACTCCTGGATTGAGGAACCTGTGTTGTCAGCACCAGCCATAGGAAATAGAGAACCAAGAAGGTGGGACAACCTCCCTTCCATGGTTGGGCCATAAAGAACTTTTTGTGAACTCCCCACTGGGAAGTAGATTCCCTCACTCCTCACACAATTTCATTACCAAAATGCATAACCCACGGTAGTTTAATCATTACCTTGAACTTGTATCTTTAGAGGCTTTGAAGTTATTGTCCGTGAAAAAATGCTTAAAAACTCAATAGAAGCAGTACAGTGATATTCACTATTATCCCTAGAGACTGACTTTAATGTGACTGAGTCTGTGTTATAGCTATTCTTAAGTTTTTTTCCATTTTTGTAGTAAATCTTATCACTTGTTTTCTTCTCTTCTTTCCCTCGGCATTTCAGAGATATGGTATCTCCTTCAAAGACAGGGTGTGGAGCCTGAAGGATCAGCTGGTCTGCAGAAAGTGGAGAACATACTAAATTCAACCTTGTTACTTCTTTCTTCACTCTTATTTCTACTCATGCACAGGCTAGAACCCAGTACACACCTGGAAATGTCCTCTGTCACTAATTCCATACCTTTAACACCAAAATTTTCTCTGCCCTAGGAGAGTTAACTAATTTCCAGAAAAATGTCATTTAGAAATATTCATGTCTTTAAACAAAAGGGGAATTTTGTTTAGTACCTTTCTTCACACCTAGGTTTATTTTTGTCTGGTGGGCTCTAGGGTGCAGACACTTCTCTGGAGAAAGAAGATGGAGCCGTTGCCCCATCTCCTTATCCTCACCACTGAATCAACTCATCACACATCCCCATGTCTGTTTATCTCTACCTTTGCTCTCTCATTAACCCAGTCCTCTGACACTCTGCCTGGTGGCTTGAATTTATAGATGCCCCTTTCCTTTCCTCACCAGATGAAAATTCGACAAGCACAGGGTCACTGAAGGAGGATCTTTGAGTCTTGCATTGGTAATACCCAGACTCTTCCATTCTTATATTTCTAGATGTTACTTTCAACAAATCCTTTCCATGATACCAAGTTGTGTCTCCCTGGGCTGGTGAATGGAAATTCATGCAAGTAAGAGTCACAGTTTCTCCTTTAAAGGCTGCAGACCATGGAGGATCAAGCAGAATTACAGCTTTTGATGGTACTCCTGAACAGGAAAGAGAAATATGAAAGCAGATAAATAAGGGGGCAGGGCATGGAACATGAGAGGGACCAGCTTTGCAGCTGGGAATTTTCCTGGGATCAGGGTTGGAAACAACTTTTAAAAATATCTGAGCTAGGTACCAGGTACTTATTCCTGTATTCCTAGTTACTTGGAAAGCTGGAATCAGAAGGATCATCCAGGTCAACCCAGGCAAAAAATATCTATGAGCCCCCATCCCCAAACCAAAAAAAGCTGGGTGTGATGGCATATGCCTGTCATTTCCAGAGACAGTGGAAAGTTTAAAATAGGAGGATTAAGGTCCAGGCCAGCCTAGGCAAAAAGCGAGACCCTATCTCCAAACTAACCATAGCAAAAATGAGTGGAAGTGTGACTCCAATAGTAGATCTCTTGCCTTGCAAATATGAAGCCCTGTGTTCAAACTCCAGCACTGCCAAAAAATCTAGGGCGGAATCTTTCGTTTTCATTCTTTGCCTAGCCTAGACATAGACAAGAGGGCATTATAGGGGTAGGTCTCAGGTTCTTGCTTTGAGCTCTGAAAAGCTCAGGAGATGTGATTTCTTAGTTAGACAAACACTGTGAAGACCTCAGAAAGGAAGTTGCTTCTGAAATGCTCTTGTTCTTTTCATTCCTGCCATGACAAAGGTGAATCTGGGATGTGTATACCTCAGACTCCAGAAAATCATTCTTGCCTGTCAACATTTAATGAATAATATTTTTTCACTTTCATTACTTTTAAACTCTTTTAGTTGAAGATTCTACAGGGAAGGGAACTTTTCTTCACTCTCCATCTAAAATGGACATAGTCAAGAATTAACAGATATGAAGAATTTCAATGAAGGAGAATGGGTTGCTTGAGAAATCAGATTTGCGTTTGGAATTGCAACTGACAGATGAGCCTGGAAGTTGAGGTTTGACTGTGGCATCAGCTCTTTTAAGAAAAATAAAGATATTTCAGCCACTTTTTTCCTTGGAATGGGAGCTACTTCTGTTTCCTTGGGTAGCAGCACTAGCTTGGGCATGCAGAGGGAGAGGTCTCAGGGAATAGAGGAGATCAGATCTTAGATTCTTTCAACATTGGTCTCCTACCCCTGTCTTACCTTCTTCAAATGCTTCCTCCTTCTCTATACTGAGGCATCTTGGTAATGGGAGAAATTTGGAGACTGGAAAATTCAGAGGAGGATCTGTTTGCCCAACCTTGTAACAGGTGTGACCCTGGAACATCAATCTCACTTCTGTTGTCATGTCCCTGCTGCCTTCTTTTATAAGAGTTGGGTTAGACTGTGCTGGCCAAAGGGACCAATGCTCAGAACCTTGGAGGGACAGAAAGAAGGGGAACATACCTGAGTGTTCATGCCCAGGAGCTGTGAGGGAGCCAAGATTCAAAGATTAGACCAGAGCCATGTTTCTCAAATATTTTCTATCAGATGCTCTATGAGAAATTTTTTTAACAATTTAACCACAACTCTTCTAATTTTTTCTCCCCATTGTATATCTCCCAGAACTCCTAATCAACAAAAAAACCCTCAGTCTATAAGTTTAGAATTCCCTTTACAAACATGGAATGGCTTGTGTTCATAGCCCTTGCTCATCTCTTTGCTACTGCATGCTTAGCAGCCTCATATTTCCTTCCCTTCCTCCTTCCTCTTCTCTAGCCTGAACTCAGCAGCGCAGACACAGGAAAGGACTTAGGTAAATGGTTTATCTTCTTCTCATTCCTTGGGCTTCCTATTGTTCCTTCTACTTCTTCAGGCTCGTGTTAAATTCTGGCTTAAAACATCTGGAAGCAAGTCATGTTTCTCACCAGATCCATCCTCAGTTTTGGAAGTCATTATGCATCTGAGAAATTATTTAGTTTGAAGCTGTAAGAAGAAAGGATGTGAAGTTGTGTTTTCATAGAAACAAAAGACCAAGTTTCCTATAGGATAAAAAAAAAAAGGTGGTGGCTAGGCAGTGGTGGCTCACATCTGTAATCCTAGCTACTCAGGAAGCAGAAGTCAGGAGGATCATGGTTTGAAGCCAGCCCAGGGCAAATAGTTACCAAGACCCTATCTTGAAAATACCCAACACAAAAAAGGACTGGCAGAGTGGTTTAAGTGGTCAAGCACCTGCCTAGAAAGCATGAGGCCCAGAGTTCAAATCCCAGTATCACCAAAAAAAAATGATGATGAGAAACCAAAGATTTCTTGGCTTACTGTGAAGGTTGCATTAGGAGCTTTATGGTTGGTTTGGAAACCCAGGTCTATTCTTTACCATCTTTTGCTACCAGTCTCTGAACCTCAGAAGGAAGAAGAGACAGAAGCTCCTTGACTTTTATCCTGGCTGATTTTAGATACTGAAGCTGTGGTCACAGCCCATTCCATCTACTTACCCAGGATCAGCAGCAACAGGCATAAGAACATGAGGACCCAGCCTGGATGACTGCAGTGCATGTTTGTCTCACCAAAAGTTAGGCTTATCTCCAAAGATGGGAGGCTGTCGCTCAATTAAGACCTGCAAAAGTTAGAAAAGCAGAAGTAAAACTTAGGATCATATCTTACTTTGGGTTCTGAAAATATGAACATGGCTCCCCTCCTAAATGATGCCAGTATTTCAGCCCCAGCAGCTATGCATTTTCAGATGTTGAGAGTCATCTTTCAACACTTCAGGTCTCTGTAAAAAATATCTCCATGGCTGTGCTTGGGTTTTCTGAAAATGCCAAATTGTGTATTTACTCATATTCAAATAACTCATATTCAAAAAACTTCCATTTTTCAAATGGAAAACCCCTTTTTTACCTGAAATTCATACAGCCTCTGGTGGCACACAAGGCTCCAATTACAGGTATGATTGGTCATTGTGCTGCCTGATTGTGTTTTGTGGTATGACTCACACAGTGAAGGTGTCAGAAGAGATGTGAAAGTCTTTTTTCACTTTTACATTAGTTGATGTGGAAGTTCTGAATAGGCAAATAATTTCTATAAATTCTATTGCAGATTAACAAAAGGGGCTACCTCTAAGTCCCACTAAGATCTATGCCAATTAGGAGGTAATTGAACAAGTATGCACATGGGAACCCCTATTTTGAAGCCAAAGCCCTTCTCAGAAAACCCTTCCCTCCTTGCAATCAAGGAAGTTCTACTCCATTATTTCTTATTTCAGGTGCCGTGTGCTTCTTTTTCACAATGTTTATCACAATTTGTAATTATTTTCTATATGTTCTTACTTTTTTGTGTGTCTTCTCCCCCACTAACATTTGCGGACTCATGTTTCTCTTATCTACCATCACATCCTCCATACTTCTCACAGTTCTTTCTTTTTTCTTTTGTTGTTGTTGCAGTTAGCGTTTTGTTTGTTTGAGTGTTTGTTGAAAAGGGTCTCACTTTGTAGTCCAGCCTGGCCTTAACTTGCAATCCTCAGTCTCCCAAGTGCAGGGATTACAGTTATGTGCCACCATGCTTAGCTAGTTCCTTCTCAAAAGTTGGCATCTTAGCCAGGAGCCAGTGGTCTGCATCTGTAATCCTAGCTACTCAGGAGACAGAGATTAGGAGGATCACGGTTAGAAGCCAGACTGGGCAAAAAGTTTGAAAGACCCTCTCTCAAAAAACCCTCATAAAAAATGGCTGGTGGAGTAGCTTAAGGTGTAGGCTCTGAGTTCAAGCCTCAGTACCGCAAAAAAGAAAAGTACACATCTTATTAATATTTTTGAGGGATTGTTGATGGACTGTGAGATGAACTCTGGACTGCTGTTTTGCAACCTTTTGTTCAGTATCACTCCCATGGGACCCTTTTTACATATTTTTTTCTAGCTACCCCCTTTCTCTAGGAAATTTTAATACCACAGATATGCATATATCTATTTATGTGCTATATGTGTAGGTGTATTTTACACACTAAGAGAGTAAGGTTTTTCACCTTCCCAAGAACCAGTGTTTGCACCCTTGTGAGTGACATCACTCTTGTCAGAATGTATGATCTAGACATATATTTAGATGCACATTTCTGTCCTGGCAGCAATCTAATTGCCAGGGAAGAAGGTTATGCCCATACAAGGAGACTTTTACACTGAAGTAGAAAATGATCTCAGAGCAAATGTCCTGTCTTCAGGGAGACCAGCCCTGAGCATGTAATAGAAAAGCATCCTCTCTCTTAATTAAGAAGTATTCCATCCCCCCCATGGAAATTACCAAATGTTGTCTATGTGTATTTGTGCAATGGTATAATGTCTATTTTTCTCATTTGATTGGGCTGGAAGTGAATCTGGTTTGTACTTTATTGTATTTCAATCCATGGTAGAAACATATTGCACACTAATTTGTCAATAAATGTGCTGAATGAGTGAAACTGAAACTGCTAACAAACAGTAAAGATCAGGATTGCAGTACAAGAGGACTGAATGTGTTTAAAATATTTCCTCAGTCACTGCTAATTAATAACTTCTCCAGTACTCTGAAGAGTATTAGTTACATCTATTATTTAAGTTAAATCAAACTCTTTTCTAAAATTGTACCTAGTTCATTCATCGCACAGGGTCACTATTGATTAGAAACTGTAGAATGAGGTGTTACTTCTGACCTCTCAAGTTTGGGCCAGGATACCTCTCGTGTGTCAGTAGCAGTTGATTCCTTCAAGGTATAATTTCCTATCTCTCAGTGCTATAAGCATCTTTACGGAAAAAAAAGTCTCAGGCTCATTTTTTATTTCTCTATTGTTAGCACAGCCATCAACATAAGGCTCACTTAAATTTGGATAGTTTTGAGATGTAGTGTATCAAGTCAGAGTAATTGTACGCATAAACAAATGCAAATTCATTTTGTGGTCAAAGTTACAATGTTGATAACTACTATGAATGGTTGTTTCCTGTGGTTGGAAAGATGTTCAGAAAAGCAGCCTTTTGAATCTTATTGCCCATCTGGGACCAAAGTATTACATTTTCTATCCCTGTTTGAGTGTTTGCATTATCATTCCAGCACCTATTATAGTGTCTGACACTTAATATAGGGTTTTCAAATAAAATACAGGATGCCTGTTACATTTTACTTGTAGATTAAAAAATAATGATTTTTACTATAACCATGCTTCGTATAATATTTGGGATATGCTTACATAAAAATGCAGTTTATATTTACCTGAAATTCAAATGTAACCAGAAGTCCTATTTTTATTTGTTAAATCTGATAACACTAACAGAATCACTTTTAACTTTCATTAATAAGTTAATGAATGATATGCGTTGAAGGGACTGGTTTTCTTTTATGTGCATATGTCTCTAATTGTGTTCCACCTTCTATTCCTTAACTCATCCCATTCTCTGATAAGTAAAGTGTCTTATCTGATTTGTAATTTGGTTAGAATAAATGAAGCATGCTCAGCTCGTTTCTATGGTTTTCCCCTCGAATGCAAGCCTGCTGATTGAGGTATCTGTGAGCAATCCCTTCCCCATGGGTGTGGGGAATGTGCTCAAGTTAAAGAGCAAAGTCTCAGAGACACAAACAATTGGGGCATGGGCTTAGAAGTAACACCAATAAAAACAAATGGACAAATATATGGAAGCCATATATTTATAAGGCAAAGCTATTGGAGTGATCAAGTTCTCTGGCTCTCAGCCTTTGGTTTAGTAAGCAAGTAGGACATTTTCTGGATTGAGGAGATGAATATTGGGCCAACTTTTAAACTTAACTATTGTCAAGAGGCTTTCAGCCTTAGGGCCCATGGTTCTGTGACCTTAGAGGATGATTTCTGTTTATGGTGGTTTGTTCACAATATTTCTATAAAAGGGCAACTGCGCTGATGGATAGCAAGAAAAAAAAAAGGCACAAAAACCTCATGAGGGGCCTCTAAAAAGTTGTAAAGGAGTTTGAAGCAGGACAGACAAGGTAAAGTTCTACCTCTGAGCACATGAGTTGGCATATGAATGACTACAAGTGCTACCTAGCAACAGAAACTTGGGGACTTCATGTTGGCTCACTTAAGGCCCATAGTAGCCTAAGTCACTTTTCCTAAGCAGTTATAGATGAAGCAGCATAGTCTTTCTTTAGCAAAAGTAGAATCTTTTAGCTTTTGTGGCCCTGGTGACTGGAGTAGTATTTTTAGCTGTAAGTTTCCTTATATGCTACAGAGCACCAATAGGGATTTAATTCTAAATTCATAGTTCCAACCAGCCTTCAGCAGACTCCCTACATCAGACAACCCAAATTCAGGCTTAAGAAGCAAAATGGACCCACTACTCTTGAATTCATTCGATGTTCTCTAGGTTTAAGGATAGAAAATATTTAAAGAATTACCAAGAAACTTTCCAGTCATATAGTTACTTTAGAGAGGCATACAGGTCTTGCCTGTATGCGATAGGAATGTGGCTGATAAATCCAATGAACTGGAAAGAACATCAGGTTCTTAGGGAAAGATCGGTTCTGACTGGACACTTTGGGGCACAAGCTTCAGCAACAGACAGCAGTTTCATTTCAGGAATGTGCTGAGATATTTACTACTTGAAATAAGTGTAGAAACAAAGTGAAAATATTCCCCAGGAGGTGGGTTAGTGGGGCCCCTCTGTTTGCTGAAGGATACAGACACCATGTGACTTAAAAGACCCATCAGTGAGCTCAGACCCAGGTGTCTGAAGCACTTCACTCAAAGAGGAAGTGAAAACAAAGAGGTTTTGAATACACCATATAAAAAAAAAAGAAGCAAAGTAAGTTTCTACCCTTTCCCTTGAGAACAAATTCTCATTATCAGCAGTAACCTTGTATGGGGAGTTGTCTCTTACTGAGTTCAAGTTCAAAGGTTCTGGGTTAACTGGCATCAACTGGCACTAATTGACTGGCATCCTACTACAGCTAAACAAAAAACTTAGCTACTCTGTTTTGGTCATCAGTGACTGCATCTCTGTTATGGTCTGTGGAGACCAATTGCTAACACAGCCCTAGTTCCATATAGACATGGAACACTGAGATTTCACCAGCTACAAAGAAATTAAAAATTTAATAAGATATCATGGGCCAGGGTTACTTTGATTTCTTTTGATTTTTAACTCTTAAGAGATAATTTGATTTAGGGCTTTAATTTATTTGGATTTTAATGTGTTTGGGATTTTTCTTACATGGGGGGTTTAATCTTTAAACTTCAATTTCTTCCTAGGGATATTAAAAAGGAAAAGGGTTGGTAGCAAAATTTGTGATAGCTCAATGTTGTAATTTTACTACTGGAGGACATTATGCTATTGCTTAATCTCATTGCAGAACTCAGAACTCCTTATTGGACTTAATCCAAAATGGGACTATAATTATAGCAAAATTTCCACCTTGAATCCCAACTGATGTTGGTGTTATATAATTAATATATTGAGGGGATTTTTGATGAATTTTCTCAGAAGATACTGCATTACAGCCCATCAATGGTTCTAAAAGGATACACATAGGAGCAAGGTTTGTCCTGGACAGCAGCTTCATGAACATAAGTGATAATTTCTGGGTGTCTGGTAGCTATAATGTGCAATACAAATAGAAAGCAGATATGATTCCTAAAACTGTGCAAAGTATACAAGTTTTTCA